GAGTTGGAGAGAGAAGGAGTCGATGTCTCCTTGGTTCCTAGCTCTCTAAAAAGTCAGTGTCTCTACCCAGGTTTAAATGGACAGCTTGGCTGGCTCTTTGACGTCTTCACTGTCCCAGTCAAGTCTTACCAGGTTTCTCCACACTTTAGGTGACTTGGCTGGCTTTTGGGCGGCAGTCAGGTCTCACCCAAGTCTTATCAGTGTTCGCCACACTTTTGTGGTAGCTACTTGGATCAGCTGTTGATTCTTGGCGATGGTCCAGTTTTTTGGCTGGCCCTTAAAATCACACTTTATTTCTTCTCTAAAGTGGAGTTTCTTGTGTTTGTTTCTTTGAGGTGGCTCAACGTCTTGCAAGGTAGTTCAATGTCTTGCAAGGAAGTTCTATGGTGCTCTTGTCAGGTACAGAACAATCTTGGGGATGGCACACGACTTTGCAGTGTTTCATTATGTTGTTCAACCGTTCGCTATGGGCTGGAGCCACCTCAATGGCACTGAACAACAGCCACATTTTTTTCATTTTTCATAGTATATCTGGGTGCCTATCATGTGCTCATTGGTGGTACTGCAGGTTAGCTGTTAGACTGAAATCCACAAAGTTGGCTCAGACTCATGAGCCGCTTCACAGGAAAAGAATGACGTTTACTTCCATGAAGATTTAGTCTCAGAAATCCTAAAGTGTGTGCCTATAACTTGGAATTGACTCAAAGACATTGGGTTTGATTGAGCCTCTGAAGTTAAATTTTAGCTAAGCTATTTTTTCTAATTAAGGCAAGAAGTAAATGTCAAGTATAAAATATTCCCATTGCAGTTTGCTTTACTTAATACATGATATCTCATAAATGATTATGGTGGTACTTGAGGTTAATTTGCACAGTGGATGGTAAACAAGGTTTCTCAATGATGCTCCATCTCAGTTCAAAACATCCGCACATTCTGTTTTCTTTTGTTTAGAAAATATGGGAGATCATGATTTCTGAGATATGGAAACCCTAAAACAAAACTCACTGTCAGGGAGTCTGTTCCTCCTTACTGTGACCTTCCGGGAAAGCAGACCTTCTCAGCAGGGTTTCCAAGTCCCTGTTTCTTATGGAAGCAGAGTTCCACACCTTTCTTCTGAGCAGTAGCTGCCACTGTTGAGCTGCATGCTGTTGGCTTTAACAGCTGAGTGCTGACCACTGTACCCCCAGGAAGCCTCGTGGTACACTTGATTGTTTTTACAATTTAAAAGGTAAAAAATATACTTCAGATACTAACACTTAGAGATTTAATTTTGAAGGAGTTTTCTTCAGTTTTGACAACAGTCACATCAATAGTATTTATTGGAGTGAATATTTTGCTTTGGCATTTTACTTGTCTATTAAATGTTATAACTGACTGAAACAGTAAACATAGACAAAGATTTATTGGCTGGTCTTTTTATTATTAAATTTGCCATTAAAATCCATACAATATAGTTGATGTTGAGGGCCTCATCCAACATCGTATCAAGATAAACTCCAGCATGGCTGCCTATCATGGTCAAAGTCAGTTTGTTGAAATAAAACCCAAACCACAAACACTCACACATACACATACTGTGTGAGGATAGGGGGACGGGGGAGGAAGTAAGACAAATGGACCCAGAGCAGGTACATTGAGGGGACCTAGAACTTTACCTCCAAGTGAAATTAGAGGAGGGCAAGTAAGTGTAATAGGGACCATCCAAGCTTGATTTCATTGACTGTTCACCAAAAGTTCCTTACATCATCAATTAGACAGCATCCCTAGGGGGATCTGTCCCCAATGAATTGAGGAAGGGCATGACCATGTAAAAAACTCCTCTCTCACAGGTCCAGTCAATCAGAGCAGGGCTGCGACTGTGGGCCACGTGCTCTTTCTCACTCAGCGTCATGCGATGTGTGACCAAAACTGTGCTTGGTACTGTGTAAGCCTCACGGTTGTTGCTATGTGGAAGCCCATTGTTGTAGGCACTGTGTCACTGTCACTGGGCCCCTCTATCTCCTGATGTGTCTTCCTTTTTTTTTTGCTGCCAAGCATCATATCCTTTCTTGGGAATTGCTCCCTCTTTAAACATGTCACTATACTCGCCTCTAGGTTCAGGGTTAGGAGATAGATTTTAACAAGAACTCAGGATTTATACCAAACATGAAATCCCAAACTAGTTGCTGTCAAGTTGATTCCAACTCATGACAGCCCCATTGTGTCCAAGGATAACTTTGCTCCATAGGATTTTTAAAAATTGCCTGGCCCGGATCCTAAGTGTGGATTCAATTGGCAAACCTTACAGTACCATCAAGTGCTTACCTATTTGCATCATTTGGAGAAACCAGGGGCAGCCTGTCCTCCTTAGGGGACACTTTAGTCTCTCTTCAGACAGAAGCAGGCAAAGCTCACGTCCTCACACTACTGGTGAATCGAAGGAGGCTATGGATGTGCTTCAAAGCCAGCTTCTCGGTAGGTTCTGGGCTGATGAACATCTGGAAACCTGGAGCAATCGCTTCCAGAGGTGCACTGAGTGCATGGTGATTCATAGGAGTGCTAGAAATGGAGCAAGGGCCCGTGGTAAGTGTCATGAGCAGGAAACTCTCCTTACATAGAACAAGACAAGAATCAGTATGTACACATCATATATGGTTCTTTAACTTTTCAAGGCACTTTGAAGTGATGGACAGGTTAAGGTATAAATTCCAGTGAGGAAAGATAAGCCACCCCCATCCCCATTGGTTTCCCAATGTCAATAATCCATTGTAGTTGCTTCACCATTATTAGCTTTGTTCACAGGAAAGCTTTAACATTTCTTTATACGCTGAAATGTGTATGAAGTGTACTTTTTGCCATCCTAATTTCCATTTTTAAAACTTTAGGAGAGGAAAAAAGTGTTTTCGGACTCTGTGCAATTCTTAGTTTTCTAACTGCTAGTATATAGTCACAGTGAATTAATCTAAAAATCGGGATTAATTACACCATTGGCCACCACACTTCCTCCAGGATTCTGCATTTATTCATTAGTTTTCTCAAGTTGTATGGTTTAAATAGCTTCAGGGCAAAAATATACAACATTGCATTAGTTAAAATGTAACTAACCCCGGTAACAAGCATATGCAGCAAGAAAACAGCATGAGTACATACATGTAAACACAGTCATCATTTTAACACGCCATTGGGACTAGCGTATTACATACAGGCTGTGTGCCGAGCCCTGGAGTTTAGGAGACCCAGGATCTGGGGAAACATAGCTGTGGGACTCATCACAGGCTACTCAGGAATTCGACCCTCTCTCCCCCTTTATCCAGGGGAAACTCAACAGCCGGTAGCAGAAGCTGCTTTCGTTTGGCACCACAGTTTAAAAGAAACAATACCGCGGGACTTTTCCTGTGTATACTGGCAGAGAAGGACCTTTCTAAACATCAACACCCGCCTAAACCCAAGAGAGATTAAGAAATAGGCTTAGAACAATTCTTTATTTTAGGGGCTAGGTCAAGAGGTAAGAAGAGGAGGAAATTAAGATGATGTGGTGTGTGTGTGTGTGTGTGTGTGTGTGTGTGTGTGTGTGTGCCACAAAACGTGCATCACTCAACCACCTCCCTGCTAGAAGGGTGTTTGTTTGAAGCCCCTCAGAGGTGCTGTGGAAATGAGGACGGCCATCTGTTCCCCACCGACGGCAGCCGGGGAAAACCCTGAGGAACAGTTCTCCGCGAACAAGGCCACTCCCCCAGTCGTGATCTGCCCACTACCACCTGGCCTGCCCACAGTGTTGAAATCATGAAATACATCAATAGCATAATCAAAGACTGACTGACGTATATTTCAGACAGTCGCCAAAACGGAATTTAATTTTCACAACGCCACAAGCGCCTGCTTTCCAAGGGAACTAATGGAGTTCTCAGAGATGAAGGAGCTGCCTTGGGGGTTTGACCGATTATTTTCCTGAATCTAAACGAATCCAATCTTAACTCATAGCACATGGTCCTTACCAAATCAGTACATTAACTAATGGGTAGCTCACATGACCCTGCTTCCAATGTATCATAATTATGGAGATTAATTAATGGTATAGGTATAATGTAGATGAATTGCTGTGTGGAGTCATTGGAGGTAAGCAATAAATTAGTTACATTCAAATATTAGTCTTGGGGAAAAAGTAAACTAAAATGTTTTACAATGTATTTAGCTATATGTACCATATATATCGTCTTAGTCAAATATTATACTGGGAAACATCCTTATTACTACACACATACACCCAAATATATGTACTATTTTTGGTTTTGCTTAACTTCAGAATTGGAATTCTCAGCCAGGAGGTTATAGGAAAGAATACTTTATGATACTCTAGGAATTATTAAGTTATAAATTGTATTTGAATGCATAGGGCCTCATTAAATTCTTAAGTGTAAAGGTCTATTTTTTTGATTCCAAAATTGAAACCTTATGTTTTGAAAAATGTGTCCCATATCTGGGATATCCTTTTTTTCCTCTCTCTCTCTCTAAATGTTCCATGCTATTCATCAAAACCTTTATTTGGCTAGTAAGACAGTAAGTATTGTTTCTTATTTATCGTTATTCTTATTTTGTAATCTCTTGAGAGTCTGAGAGAAATTACATACAGAAATGTCAAAAGATCAAGGGGAGAGCATCAGGCCTGTTTGGGGGCCCTGGACAGTAAAGTCTGGTTGACACCTCCTGCTTAGGCTGACTGAAAGCACAAACCGAGGACCCAGAGTTTCCCTCCCTGCTTGTCTTCTCTTGCCCATGGTATGCGGCACGGGGCAGTTTCTTGATTTCTGTGGAGGGCAAGAAATATCATGATTAACACATATGGGAGTGCATTTAAGAATACCTGAGAGTAGTATAGCTGTTATGCAGCTAACGTACAGGTGTGGTTTCTCAAGCCTGATAGAATGCCTTAGGAAAGAACAAGTGAAAGTATTATCAAGGAAAATCACAATGTCTCCCCTCTCTGCCCCTGTCTGCCTTTCTCTTCCCCGTGTCACTTTAAGAGGTCCATTCTCCTGCTGCTTGTCACGACACGGAATTCCAGTGCCATCCCGAAGGAAACTGCATTCCTGACGTGTGGCGCTGCGATGGGGAGAAAGACTGCGAGGATGGCAGTGATGAAAAGGGCTGCAATGGGACCCTACGAGTATGCGATCGCAAAACCAAGTTTTCCTGTCGGAGCACAGGTAAGCCAACATGGACGCCCTGGGCTTCTTGGATGTAGATGGCCTACCTTCAAGCCATAGCTCATCTTTGTTTAAAAAAACAAAACCAAAGAGTGTTTTGATAGGTTCGTTTACCTTCCCTATGGATCAATATTACCTAACATTTATTGAGAATGACCTGACTAGTGCTGTCCAATGGATGTTCTCTGCATAAACACATTCTCCCAATAACACAGTGAGAAGATCAAGACATAGAAGTTGTTCAAGGTCACAAAGCCAGCATAGCAAACCAGGATTTGAAACCATGCCCTATAGATGCATGGTGTTAGGGACGGTTGTCTCATTGGTGGAATTGTCACCTCCCATAGGAAAGACAAACATTCAGTTCCTGGGGCGTGAACCTCAAGCGCATACAAAGTTGGGATGCTGACTACATTTCAATGGAGCTTCCAGACTAAGACAGACAATGGGTGTGATCCTCAACCCAGCCCATTGGGTGACATTTAGCTTTGTAGTGCATGGGGTCCCCTATAGCAATCTATGTGTAGAGCCTGGGATTTCAGAGTCAAGAGGCAAAACTAATAATCCTACAGATTACATCTGTGTCTCAATTGAGATGAGATGCACCCTAAACTTAAAGTGAAGATTAGTATAAAAGAAATATAGAATTGAACACATTTATTCTCAACTAGTTCCCCCAATTTATTTTTCCAGGGGTGTTCGATCCCAATGGGATGAAGGCTATGCACAACTATCTTTCAGCCCTTGTACTCTGAGGGCCACTGAGGCTTTTAACTATAATTATTTCTTATGAAGGCCTTCTATTTATGTTATTATGACTTTCCTAAAGGTATTATATTATTATGACTATTTCATTTCATTTTTTCATATATAATGGCATCCGCTTGACATGATAAACTAACATCATTTCATTCTATATACCAGCTAATGTGTTAAGATTTAATTGTAATTTAATTTAATTGTAACACAAATGACAATTAACAAATTACAAAATGCTTGGTATTTTCATGCAGATAACCCAGGGAAATCATTTTCTTTAGGCTATAGAATACAAACTTGTATCATTTCCAGGACTTATTTGTAATGTGAATTTTTTATTTGCTTAATCATGAGATTTTGGTGCCTGTTAAATATGCCAACAGAAGTGTGGAAATGATAAGCAATCACAGCTGCAAGTAAGCGAATACTGTAGGAACCACATGGATAATGGGAATGTGAACAAAAATTAGGGGAAAAACAGTGTGTTCCTTTTCTTGGCTACAACTAAGCATTTTAATAAGAAAAAAATAAATCAATGGAAGTATGAGTAAATATAAACTAACATATCAAATCCCACTGCCAACTTCAGACACAACTGTGGAATAGTTCAACAGCAATTAACCTACCAAGTCTATCTTCAATCAATAATTTGAACCACTTTCTCCTCATAGACCAAAAAAGGACAAAACCCACTGATGTGAGTCAATTCCAATTTATAGTGACCTGATGATACAGAGTCGAATCTCTCTATAGTGTTTCTAAGCTTGTAAATCTTCCCAGAAACAGTCTCTTCTTTCTCCTGCATAAAGGCCGATGAGCGGAAACTGTCGGTCTTTCAATTGGCAACCCGGCCCTTCACCCCCTGTGCCACAGGGCTTCTCTTAAACTCCTTGTTCCTGCTGCTGTTCGGTCCATGCGGTCCCTTCATTCCAGACAACAGAGTGAAACTTTGCCCGCCCTGCTCTAGTCTCACAATTGCTTTATGTTTGCTCCCTTGTTGCTGCTACTGCGTCTATCCATCCCGAGAAGGGCCTTCCACTTCTTCACAGTGATGTGATTCTTTTGAATTATTAGTTTTTTTTCTGGAGTTATGGGTTAGGAAAATGTGATTTAACGTTAGTCATAGTCTTTTTGGTACAAACCCTATTCTGGTCAATATTGAAATACATCAACTCATACTCTTTAGCATGTATATGAATAAGAAATTGACATAATTAAACAAATAAAAATCTGTTCTTTGTTAAAAATTCTCCTTTGGTGGAGATGTAGACTTTCAAGAACAGTCTGTTACCATAGTATGAGAAAACATTATTTTAGTTACTTGCTGTAATGTTCATGTTATTAACGATCAAGTTGTAGTTGATTCATACAGCGGCCACATTTGCCACCTCCATTGCTACTTTCTCCATACTTCATTTCCACCTTCTAGTTGTTCAGGCCCTGAGCCCCTTCCAAGAGCTCCCAGGTGGCATGACCTTATTTTTTTTTCTTAAATTGTTGCTTATTTTTGTTTTAATACTATTTCCTCTGTGTTCTGTTGAAAATATATGGAGTATAAGATACACCAATTTAGCCATTTCCACATACACTTTAGGGACCTTGATCATAGTCTTTGAGTTGTACAACCTTTATCGTTATCTTTTTCTGATTTGTTTCTCTCTCGTTACCTTTTTAGTTTCTATCTAATATTCAAGCTCTTGTTATTGACTAGAACCTACATAGATAGTTCTTACAGGAACATAAGAGATAATTTTAAAATTATTATTATTAATTAAGCTAACCATGGTTCTGTTTTAAGATTCCTTCAGAAAAAAAAATTTTGTTTAATATTAAAAAATGATTTTAGCATAATAATGGTGTCAGGGGTTCACACAGCCTCCATAACTCCAAAAGGTCTGGAGTCCAGGAGAATTTGAAATCTGCTGTGCATTTCCTTCTGACTGTGGAGTCAAAGTCTTTGATCACAAATGGTCATTGATGGATCTAGGTAACATCCACTTCTTCTGGTCTCATGGCAAAGGAGGCAGTTGTTTATGAATGCAATGAGCCGCATGCCCCAAATCATTCTCCTGTTCCTCATGCTCTTCCTCCTCTGTTATACCAGTTCAATAGGGACCAGTTGCTGTGCCTTGGATAGCCTGTCTCATGAAACCTTGATCTTAAACCTCCAAGCCAAGGAACCAAATTCCACTAGCTATTTGCATGTACATAAGCAGTCTCAACAGATGTATATGAGATGTATACCCCATATATATTTTTTAATTTCCCCAAACCAAACTCACTGCCATTGAGTCAAGGTTGACAGAAACCTGTGGGTTTCGGAGCCTGTAATTGTTAATGGGAGTAGAAAGCCTGATCTTTCTCCTGTGGAGCTGCTAATGGTTTTGAACTTTCAACCATGCAGATTGCATGTGTAACCACTGTGTCACCCAGGCTGCTTTTTTTCAAAATTTGGGCCATTGTAAATCTATCACACAACTTTTGCCAATTCAACTTGTTCATGTGTGAAATTTGTTGATAACAATTACAACAGTCAGCTGTGCAAGATGCAAAAACAAACCCTAGTATGAGGGAGTTGACGTCTACTAAGAGTGACCTTACCTTTAGTCATTGTGATTCTTTTCATCACCGTTAACCCCTTTCTTCTTCCTCTTAAGAAGGGTATACTTTACATGTTGTATAATCATTTGTGTCTTCCTTTTCAGTATACTGTAAGCTTAAGTAACTTTATTCCTACCATACTTAGCCCAGCACTTCACAGATTATAAATACAAACAAATAGTTGGTCTAAAGATTGATAAATAGTAGACTGAATGGAAATTGGCAGAAAGACCACGTGTTTGTGTATTTGCTTTTTAAATTTGTTGTTGTGCGTTACTATTGAGTCAATTTCAACTCATGATCAAGCCCAGTGTACAGGCTTATCTATCATTTCTCATAAATAAATGATCAGGCCTGTCCTACAAGGTACCTCTGGGGGCAGTGAATCTCCAATCTTTCAGCAAGAGGTGGAAAGCGTTACCATTGGGCCCCCTGGTAACCCGTGCTCTGTTTTTAACTTTTAAAAAGGATATTTCTAAGACCAATGAGCCAATCATTTGAATCAGCGTAACATTATTCTAAGCACATATAGATTATACATTTCCCTTTACATTACTTCTGACATTTGACTGTTTATGTTGAAACAAAGTCTTTACATACATAAAAAATAAAAATAGAAACTGGCTAGGATGCCATAGAATACATGGAAATCTTGAATTTAACTGAATATACAACTAAGATATAACAAATTTAATATAAAAATGTATTATATATAGTGGGCAACCTACTTTTGGGCAAAATAAGCCCCTCTTCAATTTCTGATGGCCAGTATCCTTCACAGAACCGGAATGGCAGTTGAAGAAGGCAAGCCATGGCCATCTTTCATTGCGCTGCATCGCTCCCACCTGCTTCATTGCTCCAGCAATGTCTCTCGTGCTATTGCCACTTCTCATAAAGAATGACAGACAAGAGTGAACCATATAATTGCTGCAAAGATTCCGGTTCATATACGCACTGGCTGATTCCACACAAGGCATTTCAGTTGTGTCTTTGAGGCCAGCAAAAGATGGTTGCCGATGCGTTCTCTCAGTCAGACCCCTCTCTTAGTGTCATGCGAGAGACTTCAAATAAAGATCCAGTCAACAGCGACTTCCAGGGAGATCTGCATGGCCAGTCAGATCCCAGACAATGGAGATTACAATGACTATTATTTGTTGTTGTTTTGACATTAAAGGGATGAACCCATGTGCTATAGTTCATTCAAGGGCACAGTATGATCATGTAGGCTTATTAATACATTTTAAGAAAAGTGAAAACTGTGTTTGGGGAGGAAAGGGCCAGAAAAGGTGCACTGAGGAGCTTTTCTGCCATCCAGACAACATACCTGCTCCTTCTTCATGGACTGTCCTGTGAGAATTTTACAAGGAGGCCATACCCGCCTTCACCAGACAGGCTTCATCTTGCCCCTTTAGACTCCCTTTTGTTCCCAAACTCAAAACGTATGCTAAAGGAACATGATTTGACTACCTCAAGGATCCCTAAACGGCCATTTTGACATGGCAGGAATCCAACAGGACAGAGTTCCTTGAGGAAGGGCTGGAGAAGGCAAGCGCTGCCTTCAGAAACTGCAGTGGCGGGTGTGGAGACCATGTCAAGAAAGAAGAGGTTTGCATTTTTATTTCTGTTCAGTAAAGGTTTGT